TCAATCTACTCAGAGCCTATAAACTGGGCACTCCCAAATCTTTTAGCTAGGAATAAACTACATTGTCCATACTCATTTCTCTCAAGTTTTCTTGTCTGAATGCTGGGAGAAACTATTGGAGTGACTGGGTTTCATGTATGTATGAAGGGTAAAATATGCATGGATTTTGCATTCTAAAAATGTGGCAAGAAAAACAACATTGATGAAGAGATGTGAATAAAAAGTGGACTTGGATAATACATTCTTTTTTGCCTGTATGCATTTTTCTGAAATGAGTAGTCATGTACTCCCACCATAACAGTCACTTTTCATGATGATTAGATTATATCTCTAAATTCCAAATGTGCTTATTAGCCAAAGGTTTAGAAATTCCCGACTATTTTATCTGTCTACTCTAAACTATTTTAAATTAAATTGAAATTTATAATGAAACAGATATTATCCAGTGCACATTAGGGTGTTATATTAGGATCTTAATTGTAATAACAGTTTTGCCTGTGTTAAGTTCATAACTATCACCTTATTCATGCAAGGTTACAGTAAGGGCCATAAGGAATTTATAGTATTTATACAATATTTTTGCTAAACTTTTGCTAAACGTTTTATGCATTTATTTGCTTTCATCCTTGGAGTGGCTTTGTGACATAACTATCTAGATAAATATGAATGTCCAAGTTCATCCGGAAAAGCATCATACTTAAAACAACAACTTGAATTTCTAGCTTCAATTTGTCTACTTCAATTTTATTCATTTGACTATTCCAGAGAAAGAAACTGCTTTTTACGCTTTACCTTTGGATTTTAAAAAAAATATTTTTTCATTCTGTATTAAGAGTTATATTTTTTACATATAATGTTTTTACAGTTAGTGAAAAACTGCAACTTCTTCGTAGCTCCATGTGTTCTTTGGTACAAATACCAACAGACAAGTACTTTTCTGTAAAATTAAAACAGCATTGTGCTTAGTGGTGCTGGTTCATTTCCAAGGACAAGCAGCGATAGATAATAGTCAAAGAGCCTCTGTTACCATCCCTAATTTATTCCAACAGTACGTGAGCGAGAACCAGCTGACTTGAACAGATTCTTCCTACTGACTTCTTTTGCCTAAAGAAAAGTCATAGGGATAATCTTTTGCTTTGGATTTATTCAATGCATACGTGCTCACTGATTACTGGGGAATACGCTCAATTGTAAATTCAAAGTAGTGAAATAGGAAAATAAGGAACAATGAATTTAAATGTCTACTAAAATGTAAAACTGTCTACCCAGCTCTCTGTCACATATCAAAACATACATTTCTGACATTTAAAAAAAAGCATGTGTTTTGTAACAAGAGTAGTTGCACAAAAACAATGAAGATAGCTGCTTGTTACACAAATTCATACAAGTAGTTTGATCCTATAATTTGATATACTAAATTTTGTAGCCCATATAATAAGGTTACATGGTAAAATAGTACACCTTAGGTGTAAGATGGCTTATGATGTAGCTCTACGCTCCACATATTGTGATTTCATGGGTTTCCAAACTGAAAAGCAGGCAAGAACTTTCTGGGCAAGCATATTCCATTAAGTGGGACCGGGATGGTGGGGACATTGCAGCAAAAAAACTTGCTTCTAGGCTTATTTCCATCCTTTACATTTCCTGGAAGGTGCCATGGCTCCTGGGCTGATTGAAGGCTACAAGTAGATTCCCTTTGAAAGAGATGGCCTTGGGTTTCTGGGACATAAATAATATACAGTGGTGCTTAAATATTTGCGAACCCTTTTGAATGTTCAATGTTTCATTTTCCTCAATAAATAAATACATCTAATATTTTATTCATTTGTTTAATTGGATTCCCTTTATCTAGTTTTTTTTAACTTGTGTAAAGTATAGACTATGATTTACATCATACTTATGCAAGGATATTGAAAATTCAAAAGAAGTCACAAACTTTGAAGCATCACTTAGGGCTTTATAAGATAATGACCAACATCTTTATCCGAAATATACTGCTAGCTAATGGAGCATCCAATTTAGGTAATACACTGTTCCATAGCACATGGACCAGTGCATGAAGCTTTCAAGTTGTCTTCAGGGATGGTCTTAGATGAAGAGTGTCGCCCTGGTTTAACTGGCAAATAAAGAATATGTGTGTTATGATTACTAAAATATCCATCTCTACTTTGGACCACAACTGCTACACCAGTGGCAGCAGAGAAAGACCGTACCCTCATAAACACCATTTGTGATTCTAACAGTAACTGTGATTCTAAAAGTAACTGTAATGACCATCAAGTCACTGACCTATTTCTTAATGGGACCTTCTTCCTTATAAATAAAAGAATGTGTCAGAAAGCCCAAAGGCTTCTAGATTAACAGCAAGACTAGCTGGGATTTACCTTGGCTCACTCTATCCAGATCCTTACAATCAACAGAACATCAACTGCATCTCCTGTCCAGCTCATAGTTGTAATCTACAATTACATGTCATCCATATACTGATACTGCCTCATCTGAACTAACAAATTGCTGTATTCCAGAGATAACGTTTATGTAATATGGGGAAAGTACAGACTACACAAATGGAATATGATATACTCTGCCCTGGCTAATATTATTTTGAATAACCCACTCTAGATGAAGTGTAACACTGTAATCCAATGTATTCAATTCGTAATCCTCTTAGTTTAGAAAAGGGGTGTAAACTCGTGGCCTGTGGGCTGGATGCGTCATGCACTGGCTATGCCCACGCCCAGGTTAGTGAAGGGGGGGAAAAAGTCACAATAAGTCACGTGACGATGCCATGATGACGCAAGTTTGACATCCCTGGTTTAGAAGGATATCATGGTTGTGCATGAAAACAATAAGTATGACTTCAATTCCATATCCAGAATTGGCACTGATGAACAGCAAATTGAGACCCAACAGCAAGATTACCAGAGAAGATTATCTTAAATGGACAAATGAGTGCCACAAACTGCCAATAGCCTTTTTCTCTATCCGATCTCCTCTTCTATTTTTACAATATTTATCAAAAGTAAATATTACTCCAGTTAATACATGACTACTTAAACACACACAACCAGGTCTCAAATATAGACAAAGTCCATCCTACAATAAGATAATGCCACCAAGTATCTTATTTGATTCCTGATATTCTCCAGATACATTCTGGCAGTTCCAGCTGCCATTGTTAATTGAATTCCATGTGATTGCAGCATCCCCCCAGTTACGTTATCACTGTTGTGACCTCCTGCGAACTTCCCCAATGTCTTTGCTTGTTAGTCAGCAATGGAGGTTACAAATGGTGATCATGAGACTGTGTGGCACTGCAACAGCCAAAACTATGAGGACCCTTCATAAGTATCCCTCGTTCAGCACCTCTGTAACATTAATAGTTGCCAAATGAATGGATGCTAACTGACATCTACCTGTACTGCATACCTATCTGCAAGGATGGTGTAATATGTATAAAACAAAATGAAATGCCTCAAATGCAATTGTATATATGACAATTAAGTTGCATACAATAACTTTAAGGAATGCTTGTGAAACTCCACCGCTCCTATACAACTGAAATGCATGAAAAATGGCCAGCAGATAATGTGAGGATAAGGGATTAGTGAACTTTCAGCCAAAGGGTGAGGAGGGAAAATAGCACTTTAACACAGAACATTTTAGTGCTTTGCAAACATAATGACGTGGTTGATAATTCAGGAAGTTTGCAAAGTAAGCAGTCCAACTCAAGTTTAAAGTATGCCAAGAGGAGATGGTCATTCATGTTCCCTCCCTTTTTATAAAGACTTGATAAGTATCGTGTACCACAGGAATTTAAAAAAGCTTCCTGAAACTAAGCTAAAGCATTGATTTATAGTGTTCATTATTAACCATTTTATATGAACTGGCAATGCTTTCAGCAATTCAAATCGAGTATTTCCCAATCCTCCCAGGAGATCACAGAGGAACTAAATCATGACACTTGTTGCACAAAGCTTCATGTCACTCCTTTTTAGAAAAAAAAGTGCTTTTATAAAATGTTCCATCACCAGTGTGTATGTGTGTGTGTGTATTAATCACTTCATTATCAGAAATGTTAAGTATTAAACTTTGAACCTTACTTCCTTTTACCCAACCATAAGTTGTGTGAATGGCCTCTTATAATTCATTGTGAGATAAGAAAGGGTGTAAGGTAGCTGTTTGCTTTTTTCACTAACCCATAATCTGGGTTTATACGTCACACTAAGCCATAATTTCTTTAGCCAAGGTTTATTGAAATCACTATAAAGTTAAGTTTCCAACCAACTCTGAGCAGGTCCAAAATATAAACCCCAACAATACCAAAGATACATGACAACTCCCAGCTGTTACCACAGCGTTACAATGATGTAATGGTAACTGTTCAATCCATCCAGAAACCCATCCTTTTCTTGTTTAAACAGGAACTGATAAAATTGCTTTATCAAGGAAAAAATCCAAATATCTCCACATTTCCTTTTGACAGGGTCCAACAGCATTATCTGTGCGGTGGCATAGACATAATAACTGAAAGTCAAGGAGAAACAAAAGCACTATTGTGCTGGAGAGAAAATTTAAAGATGGGTAGATAGGTAGGTAGAGGGGGGGGGAGAGATAGATGATAGATAGATAGATAGATAGATAGATAGATAGATAGATAGATAGATAGATAGATATGGAGGGAGAGAGGGAGAGGGAGAGGGAGAGAGAAAGAGGTGTAGGTAGGTAGGTAGATATCTTGTGGAATCAAGTTAGATTCATTAAGCCCCCAAGAAGCTCTCTTCGATTTGCAGGGTTTTCTGACACACAACAACGCCGAGTGGCTACACAGAGCGCGCTCTCCTTCTGGGTTGTTGCCTTGATCCCCAATCCAGCGGCACTCGGTTTCCCACTCGCCCCCGCCTTCGGCTAAGCAGGCAGCGCGGGCAGAGTTCTCCGGCGAAGTTCCCTCTTCGCCCGCCCAACGCCGCCGGCATGGCCCTCTCACCTCCTCGGCTTACCTGTCGCCGGGTTCAAAAGCGCCCTGCGGTGCCTTCTGGCCACCTCTTTCCGCTCCTCCTCGTCTTCTTCTAGTCGCCAGGCTTCAGCCATCGGCTCCCGGGACAAAGGCGGCCTTTAGGCAGCGGCGTCCACCATTGCGCCCAGGCGGACTCCCGGCTCCCCTTTGTCCGCACCTGCACCTGACGCTTCCCGCCGGAGAGGGCGGGGAGTCCCGGTTTCGACGCTGCCCTCCCCCTCGCTTTTGCTTTCTCCTCCCTCCCTTCCGTCTCGCCAAGCTGCAAGTCCAGGCCTTTAAGGGTTCTGGGCCGAAGCAGCTCCAGGACCGTCCCTCCAGGAAAACGAGGGGCGACTACTTCCACTACGGTGGAAGGGATAAAGATAAAGGGAGAAGTGGGCGAAGGTGGCGGTTCCCTCGCCTGTTCACAACATTCCGGTATCAACAGGAAGCGAGACTCTCGCCTGATAGTAAAACAAAAGGAGAACGGAGAGGGAGGGAGTGGGGGGTAATCTGGAGCAGCAAAGAGCAATCGCGTCTGAGGAATGCGAGGGGATGAAGCGACCTCCGACTGCGGTGGGAAGCCGAAGGGCGGGGGCCAACGGACGCTTGTCTCAAGAAAATGGGGTGGGCGCAGCGAGCGAGAGGTGCTTTCTTGTAAGCCCGAGAGACCCATTCTTTGGACACCAGCGCTTGCTATTTTTTTCGCTGGAGCTCTGCCAGGAGCATTTTCCTCACACTTTCGAGCTTTTGCAACAACGCAGATTTCGTGAGAAGCCAGGATGCCCCTCTGCGTTTTGCATTGCACCATTTATTATTATTATATACTTTATTCATTAAACATGAAACTCCGCCAACTGAACATTCAAAAATGTGTAGGAAGTTATCACCCAGCCCTCTCCCAGAAAAAATGAAATATCCTAGGAAATATTGAAAAGGCAGAATATTTCTCTGGATGTGAAAAAGGAAGAAACTTGTTTTAAAAATCAGAATAGCTGCCTGCAGCTTCCTGCTCATCCCCCTTTGTCAATGAGCCATTAAAGCCTGAGCTAGTCCACCACATAATAAAGTGTTCTCCCCTTCAGCTCCAGAGTGATGGGATTAAGGCATG